TTACGCAACTGTTACTGTATATATATGCTTATGAGTAAGCCCTGTTAACAGTTACCGCGTGCAATTACACTCGTGCTTTCTTGCTACAATAGGTATCGAAAAATTACCCAGGGGCTAATAATAATAATAAGAATACCTGTATTTGTCTTGATGCGAGAAACTGTGTCTGCAGCGGCACAGATCAATTCGTGCTCTCGCATGGGTGACATGTAAAGGTGGAATATTGGGGTATGCGCTTCATGTAGTCACGTTCTGTTGGATGCTTAAGGCAAAAGTCTAGTTTTGGCAACATTGGTGTTTAGATGTCTTTGGGCCCCTATTAGAATAGCTCATGGAGGGGACTTTTCCCATGTGATTGTAATGATTATGGCATTTAGACCAAGGTAACTGGCGAGTCCGCTTCTAAATGTTGCCACATTGTCACCTGACCTGTGTTATTAGTAGTTTATTCCACAGATAGCTATATCTGACCAGGAAGAAATTAGAGCGAATGTTCGTTCTGGTCTTTAGTATATTCAACATAATAACCTTATTGCGAAGAGCTGGAGCTGAGCTATGTTGCATTTCGAGTGTAGGCCGGTCGGTACAGATCATTTTGTGAAGCAGATTGCAAAACAGCAACAAGTTGTGATTCAATCGTCGAATCCAAATTGGTTCGGGTTGAAGTTCATTACAACGTTACCGATAACAGCAGAGTGCTTACCAATCAGATGGCACAGTGGAGCAATTAGTGTGGGTCTGTATGAGCTACGTATGCACGGTCGAAATATCTCAAGCTCGTCATGACATCCCGCGTCAAGTTACCCTGGATAGCAACAATGTGGTCAACAAAGTACCTATCTGATGTGACTTGGTGTGTGGTACACAAAACAGATTAAAGAATGTGTCCGAAAATAGGTAAATTTTCTGGCTGCTAAATTACCGAATAATGGTCATCGGTCGGAGCATATCCCCAAAGAAGAACCATGCGTCAAAACTCGGGCATTTAACGGGCATTCACATTTAGCATATTGATCATAAACACCATTAATTCATTTAGCGAAGTTCGTTGTCTTCACCTTAAAGAGCGGTTTCCACAATTTGGCTTGTACAGTTATTTGTTTTTTTTCTGGATAGATTTCACTGCCTAAAAACAGGGACGTTGGAACATATGGTAATGGTGATTCATTGTTTATCTTCAGACAAAAATGACAACATACATCGGTTCTTGTTAACAACTTTGTTATATCCGCGAAAGCAGAAGCAACTCGGTAAGTTAAACGAATTTATCGACACTCAGAGAACGAGTAACAGGCGATTCAACACTTAAAGCGAGGCAGCCAATCAGAAGAAAGCAAATGTATTCGTCCAGTGTCTGCCAAGTGAAAGTACCTTTAGAGATGACGAAGACAATTCCAATTACCAGTGTAGAGAGTATTATAGCAACACCACACTGTCTCCTCCTCCGCTCGAAAGCACATAAATAATCACTTTGTGATAACGTTTGAACAGTTGCATGCGCAAGGTAGTTAAGTATTTACACATGGGGAAGGCATCACTTTATGTTGCCATCAGAACATATCGGTTGACAGAACGACTAGACCGGCTTAACAATCGTAGGTTCCCCGTTGTTTGTGTAGTGATTTTTGCACCAGAGGTAGTAGCTCGTGGAAATATATTTTGTGAGAGTACAGTATGCAACCGTCTCGCATTCACTCTTGTGTCATCTGCCAGTTTGTATATTCTTGGCGTAGACGCGGATTCTACAGTGGTAGAAGATCCGATTGTCTTACCTACCCTTCCGAAATTGGTTAGTTGCACACGAACGTGCCCCGTAGGGTGGCCAGAATGAGAATCACCAAAATGGAGTAGAGGGTAGTGGGTTGGCATAACGTCAATGCGCTTTTAAACACAGATAATGTGAGGGGAAACAAGGTACCTAGGAGACGTTCCATATCCGGCACACAAACAGAGCAAACCTTTTCACCATATGCTAACCAAATGTGTTGTGCGGTCAAAGTAAAATGCAGACCACTCAGATTCGTGTTGTAAGTAAGTTGAAATAGGTAGCGGCATAAGTAGTTGGGGTTCCTTAGAATATAGTAGACAATTGTTAAGTCACCGCCTAGGCGCCGATACTGACCGCTGTATAATCTTAGGGTTGATATGTAAGGTGGAGCAAACCTTTGACATACATGGTGAATATTTGTTGTGGAATCTCGAGCGTTACAGGAGCTATATTGCGTTTGGACTGCTGAGCCTGGATTGCATTTTCAACATAGAGCAGTACATATTGTAACAGAACGACGTGGCGATGAAGCACAATCTTTATTGACGCAACAGTAGTCAAACAAATCACGTAAACAGGAATGAGTTATGTTTCCTTCCAACGACACACTACACTATCCGGAGTCCGCTCGGGACAAATCGATGAACCTACGCAGTCCGCGAAGCTAGATAATTGCTGCACGTTCACCCAATATCTTCACTTTTGTCCACCCTATTCTGGTCGGCCAGGATTTGTTCGATAGCTGACTATTTGTTTAGTCATGGCTTCATCACTCTGCTAGAGGTTAGTCCTGGAGGCGCAAATGACAGCGCATTCGGTTTATTCATTGCGCTTTCAACGAGTGCCTTCTCTGCTCTTCTCGGTTCAGGCTCGCTACCGGTTGCTGATTGCAACCCGTCCTTAGCTAGTTTCATCAGGACCGTGTTGGGCTGTCTGCTCTCACTAGTTGTGCCTTACTGATTCCACTCGCTCCCATTTTCGTAATCTCCCTATCCCTCCGGGTAATCTTTACGTTCAGTCTCCCTACAATATGTGTTAAGCATCTGCTAGCGGACAGTTGGATCCAATCGTCCGAATGCCCTCCGCAGGATATCAATGTATTGCTTCTAGGTCTTATCCACTCTAAGATTGTACTGAGCATCCCAAATTGGTCTGAATTGTTACTCCACTAGTAAATACCTCATGAATGCAGCGTCGTAACTTATGGAAGTAACCCAGCTATTTACGTCGAGGATTTTACATGCTAGTTATGTTATCCATTTCCCTGAGCTTGCTTTGTCGAATAAACCGTTCGTTACTGAAGGACCGAGTTCTGAAACACCCAAAGGTCTTGCTATTGGGTAACTGCTTGCAGGATGTGGTCTCCAAGCGTGCATATATTCGGCTGATGATGCATGTCAACCACCTTACATAAGAATGAATCAGAATGGAGCAGATGGTAGAATGACCATTCCTACGCACTGGTTAGTTCTTGTTGAAGTACATCGTGCTTTCGACGGTTAGAGATCACCGGCTACACGTTAACATCATCAGCGGATATCAAGAAAAGCAAGGCGATTGGACGTGTAAGCTCTTTAATGAACACGAGAAACACACGCGACGTTGGAACTGATCCTTATGGAACCTCTCATTCAACACGAATTGGATCGTAAACAACACTTCGAACTCTAACCCGCAGTTTCTGATTCTGTATGAAAATCCTGATTCATCCACGTACTGGATCTTTGACTCCGTAGCCTTCCAACTTGTGAAGCTGAATGCGGTGGTCCAAGTGATTAAAGGCTTTGGGGAAGTCGATGTAAATTATGTTGCACTCTGCCCCTATTTCGGCCAGTCCCGTCTCACTACCGAGTGCAATCAGTGGATCGGTTGCGCATGAGCGGTGCTGACAGAATCCGTGCTGCTCCGGTGCTATGATGTTTTAGCGTTCTAGATGGTCGACCAAAGCCTCTGTGATGATTGCCACCATCACCTATGGGAGTACAAAGTGGAGAACCAATGGGCGATAGATTGCGGGTTCCAAGCGAATGCTACTTATAAAAAGCGGCGTGATTAGACTATGTTCACATGGAATACACCATTTGTTTATCCAAGCGAGTTCGCAATGAAGGTGAAAATGGTTTAGGCAGCTTTGTTGCAGCTGCTGTATTCAGCTCCCTCTGGTGAATGTCAGCGATTCCAGAACTGTAGGTGCAAAATGAGGACAGCTTTTTTCAACACAGATGCGCCAGTGAAGACGAAGTTGGTAAGTGCTGAAATTTGGACAATCGAAGTGAGTATGTAACACTGGCGGACGTCTCATTTGAAGGTTGGGTCATACTGCATCCGTAGAGCATTGGCTGGTTATTCAGCACTCTATGCCACCCCGAAGGCCTTGTTACGTGGGGAATACCGTGCTTCCCTTTGAGAACACTGCCAACACGCTTGTGTGACAGCATTTATTTCTGGAGCATCTGCCATCCAAGTATTGGTTGTGAACCTTTTTGTCCTCACGGACACGCGTAGTATATTGGTTAGCTCCGCTAGGTAGTCGAATGAACTTGCAAGTATCCTCTGACTGTAACATCAACGATGAATTGAGGATCGGTAAAACAGGAATAGAACCAGAAAAAGCAATTTATTAATCCTCCCAGCACTCCGTCTTTGAGATACTTGCAGGATCGGTCCAGGATTGAGTAAAAGCTGAGTTTTGTAAAGACACTATTTCGCTTGTCCTCGAAAGCAGCAGTAAGTCAGTAAAATGAGCAAACGTGTGAACACTCTGTGAACACGTAACAGCGGTTCCAACACTTAAAGCGACGCGACATGCTGACACAAGCGAAGCAGCCAATTCGAAGCAAGTACATGCATTCGTCCAATGATTGAAAAGTGAACATTGTGACACAACGTATCGACGAAGGGGACGATTATATTGTGATGTGACAACACCTAAAGTGGGTTCCATCAAAAACTGCCAGTAACACTCAGCTACTTGTAAACATCTGCCTATCAACGTTGTTAACCATCCTGGTCGTAACAATTAAGTTCTTCTGACTGACCACTCACTAAATCATAATCAAAAATGTCAAATAAAGGTGGTTATCAAAGTTGCATATAAAGTTGTACCACTGAAAGAAAACTTTTCACACATTACAAAGGAAACAAAAACACAGGTTTGTCTTCCGACTAAAAAGTTTGTTGGGAATGATATCGAGAATGAGCTAAAAATAGTTACCTCACGCTGCTCTAATAATTATAAGTCCGACCTGCCCTTATATGTTCGTGAATGCGGGGGTTCGTGAACGCTTCCGGGTATCGACTCCGGGTAGGTCAACCCCGAATTGCTTCCACTATACTCCCGTTGCTCAGAAGTTTTCGTCGAACTGAGTTCGCTCAATGGGATGGTATCACCAACTGGAGGCACGCGATGGTCATCAGGAGGTTGATTCTCGAACGGTTCTGCGTCCTCTGCCCATCGGCGCTTGTGTGGCCACCATCGTCGCCTATGTCGCAACCTCGTAGACATCGGGAACTCCATTGTATAATCCTCCAAATCTCTTTTGGTTTCTCGTGTTATCAGTCCGAAGCAAACAGAGGTAAATATTGAGCTGAAATTCGCCAAAATCGCACACCCATAAGACCAAGAAGGCCAATTGAATTTCGGATAGGGCATCCAATCAGGGTTGTCGTAGTTTGCTCCAAAAACAACAATTGCAGGAAATAGTGCGCAAGCTGGATAAAACAGAAAAGAATCGGCCATAATGAGGAAATGTTAGATGCCATACACTCGGTTGCATAAGTTCCGAAAAAAGTAGAGCTTAAGTTATTAGTACAGCTCTCTGTTACTCATAGTCAAACGCAAAGCGCGAGCAATCATGTGTGATGTGTTAGCCAAGAGGGATGAGAAGTAAAGCTTTACCGATTAGACCCCGCTAACTTATCACTTATTTGTCTTCATATAACCAAAAACAAACAACTTTGAAGAGATTATTAGTGTCGTGAAAATGGCAAACACATCTAAAGTGATGAGTTAAGAACACCAGTTGATACATGCCTAGTTAACGGGCAGTAGGTTCTGTTATCCGACAGTGTGATCCTAATGTGCGTTTTCTGATCTACAACGATGAAGGAAGCCTGTTGCTGGCAACCAACTGTTCTTCACCATAGAATGGACAGTTTTCATTTCAGAAGTTTGTGTTGGTTAAGACACATGTTCGTTTGACAGAATGCCGATGTTATCTGTTCTGTAAGACGACACAAGTAGATCGGAGTAGCTCCTGTGGTTGAACTACTATGCCAGTTGTACGCTGTCTTAGAGTACGCTTGGAACCGATCGAGACGCTATGGTGTCAGAAGACTTTGTGAACGATCGGTTAATGTTTCTTGGTTAACGTACCACTTTTGACACAAAAGCACTTTGTCTCAAGAAGCTTTTGTGTCAAAGGAATACAATTACCCACTGAAACAATGGAAGTTGTACTTTATCGGAATGGTAAGGCATCACTGATAATTGACTTTTAAGTAAGCGTGAAAGTTTGTTACACTGAAAATAGGCACTGCAGTTAATGGGAACATATATGACTCCGGAAGTGCTATTCACTGCATGTGGCATGCAATCTTATTGGCCCAGTTGCGTCAGACTGCTTTTGCCATCATGTAATGAAACAGCGACCACACTAAGCTGAAAGGAAAGTGCCTGAAACGGAGAGAAAAATACAACCGTCAAGAATGTAGACGGAACAACTATTCCCTTTGGGTTTGCCAACCTCGGAACTGCCTCCCAAACTCAGTTATCTCCTCCCTCGCTTTGAATATCTGCAAAAAATGATCGGATCTTGCTCTTAGCTCCCAGCACTTCGTTAGCTAAACTGTGCTACTGCGGAACACCTTTGCGCGCTCTCATACCGGATTTAATTATCACACGGACCCAAGGAAGTGGCAAATGAGTGAGTGTACTTATTTTATTTCTCTAAAACACAATACGTCAACCATAACTGCTTTCCATGTTGTTTCGTATGCTTGCATAAAATTCTCATTTTACATTATCGTTGTTCAGTAGCGTATTTAGCTCGGTAGACGGCTAAATTGATGACTCACATATCTTGTGATTTTATAGTTTACAGTTTATAAAGTAACATGAACAATATCCTTCACATCTCACAAGTGTCTGAATATTTTCTGATTAACATCCGTTCTCCTCATCCACATATAACGGTCAGTTGTTTTGATGACTGATCATGATATCATATTTAAAACTGAATTTTGGTGATATGGCTATAGATCTGAAAATCAGTTAAGCATTTTCGTAAAGGCCAACTTTATGAGTAATCGGTGCTGTCGTCGAGGTAGGGGCTGCGTAATTTATCTGATGAAATCGTTCGCAGGAGCAACCTTCAGGAACCCTGCGCTGACTGACGTCTAAAAACCACTCTGGCTTACGATCTCTGTGGGATGTACCTAAAACACACAAGGCGGCAGCCAAGAGGATCTAGCACGCTTGACGCTTGTATTTCAAAGCGCCGCAAGACTACCGTACAAAATATCGGAGGTGATTTCAGTGCCATCCATTACATGGTCTGTGGAACCGCTTGGTTGAAATTCCAAAATCTTAGCTTCCGTATTCAATTGAATGGCTGACAATAACATGTCCCCAAACCTACCAGAAGTGACAGCACTCTGGATCTCATATTCCCGCTAAGCATACGTGCTAGTAATCTTACCGTTCTTGCTTACTTTCCTGGAAGCCATCATCCGGTGATATCAAATGCTGCTCAAGACAAAGTATGGCCAAAGTACAAATCCAAATGGACTATCGTTTGTCCAGTCCCGACAATTGGAGCGCATTCAAGAACTTGGTTCGTTCGATGGATTGGGATAATTTCTTTCGCCCTTCATGTCCTCAATAAGCAGCGGACTTGTTTTTCATCGATTCAGTGGTGCGCCTAAGTTATGTCCATCAGAATATACATAAACCCATCACAAACTGTTAAAGACCGCACACAGGCTTAATAACATTCAGCGGAAATTCAGGCTAATTGCAGACGTTGCGCTATTACTAAAGTAGTCAAAGAGCTTCCAAGAGCTAATGCATCAGAATGACAGCACTCTCATTCTTGAAGAGTATTAATCCTTGAATGGCACTGGTAAAACAATAGATATATCTAAACTATTTGTGCCCGAAGTTCAGTAACAGCAACTCTTTAAATTTCACCAACATGACTAATGATACATACTTCCATGTACCAGTTGATATTTGTGACACATACAATGCTTGTTTTTCCGAATGGATGTTTACTGAATCATCGGCCACACCAGAGCTTGTCACCCTGCACATCGATGAAAGTCCATGCACAGTGGAATTCGCTGTTACAGAAATCACCGGTCAAGTCTCCCATATCAGCACAGATGGACGGCCAGCCATCCCATCTTAGCGTACTTTTGAACATTCGCAGAGGCAAAGAGTGAAAATGAATATAAGTGGCGTAATATATTCAGATATGTTGTCAAATACTGTTACAGGTCTATACTACCACCATCCCTTGCCTTTAAAACTGTGCTATTTTATAAAACCGTAATTGTAGTCAGTGTGAGTGACTTCTGGAGCACTTTGAGTGATCGTTTTATGCATTGTTGGACACATTTGGGACGAAATTCGGGTATTCAAAGAGTTTTCGATTTGGCTCTACGGCTATGGTGCTGCATCATTAAAATTGGGGAATCGACTTCCGCTTCTTGTTGAAGCTGTTTGCAACCAGAAAAATGTATTCACGGTATATGTTAATGGTGCACTGACAAACTTCCTAAGTGACGAAATTCGTCCTACATGTGTCCAACTGGGACAGCCAGGGGCGTAAAAACGATCACTCAAGGCGCTCCAACAGATACTCCGTCGGATATTTTCAGGTCATTTGTGTTATGCGGGTCTCAACCCGCTACTCCGTCACATTTTCTCGCACGTCACTGGATTTACAGTTATTCGTCTTGAATCAACTTGAGCTATCCCACAAATTCATTCTCTCTAGAATACTACCAGTGCATCCCACATTCATCAAGATTTGTATGTTTCAGACAGCTTTTAATTGATATATTAGAGCACAACTCTGCGTTTTTCCAATCGTCGAACCTAGTTTGATCTCGCTCGATAGAGTATTCTAACGGGCTCTCAATCGTCCAAGTCCAATACTGTGTGGAGCAGCTACAAGATAAGTTATCCACTTGCAACGAACCCCCTTCACTCATTCCGCAAGTCCACTCTGGTGGGATCCATAAGCCCGACCACGAAACTATAAAACATTGGTGTGATTTACGATCACATTGACGCATTCGACTAGCATGTCAGAGGAACGCAGAGAGACTGCATCACTCGAAGTGAGCCGCATGACCTTGCTCTCATCGTTGGCAACGCGCGAGCAGCTGCTAGGCAATGTTGAAGCTGAACAATTTATATAGTTATTTAAAGGTGAGTCAATCAAACGCGTCGTAACATTCACTCAACGACCGTAACACCTTGCGTACTTCAGGCTAAAGACTTACATTGCTCATGTGCCAAAGTTCAGTGGAACGCACGTCTATCCCACCGATAAAAAGCGTGCACTTTTTATCTCAGAAGTGCGACCAACTACTGACCAAGGTTGAGAGAATGGTGACCATAAACATCACCACAGTTGGGATGAACATAGCGAATTGTGCAACCCACGCCTCCCTGGTAAGCGACTCTCCGAGCCTGAGGAGGACGGCTGGTAAAACCGTTAGCAAAATGACACCAATGGCGCAGAAAATCGACCACTCTTCCAACACCGCTGGTTGTTAAGTGACACAGACACGATCAAAAAGTCACGATGGCGGCGGGCGGAAAACAGGCGTTTATTCAGTATAGTGTAGCCTATTTAAAGGAAATAAACATTGTTAATCTTCGAGCCTTCTCAGTGGGTCTCCTGTTTTTCGGCTCACCCCATTGGTTGCGTTCCCCTTTTATTTCATTGGGTTATGTTATTCCTCTTCGGTCGCTGTCTTCCTGTCTCGCGCAATGATCACGTCTTTCGTGCTTGGCATCTGATTGGCCGTATTTCTTTGGACCACTCATATTTGGCTTTGCACTCTGAAACTTGCCGTTAATAGCGATTCTCGAGTTGCCAGTGCGCCCTCTATGTTCTATTGTCCAATCCGGTTTGTTGGTTTCTGGATACGTGTGCCACTCGTGATTCGCTGTCCACCAGTCGCTGTGTCTCCCGGTGGGTTCACGCGTTCTCTTGATCGAACTGATCCGCTGACTCCGGTAACCTGCGCTTAGGTGGTAAGGTCGAGCATACTGGACTGGTTTCCTAAACCCCGTTACACTGGTGACTTACGTTCTACTAATGCGGTTCACAGTTCGCTCGGAGCAATTACACGCGAACTTTCATTTAATCTCTAAACTAAGTGTGTATCAAGAGAAGGTGCCGATACGCGTGGAAGTTGGACTGTGGTTGCTGCTAAGATTGGTTGACAATTAAAATTAGCAACACTATCTACTGGGTTGGAAACTAAGGAGCGAAGCGGTGTCCTTATGGTATAAACACGATCGGCTTCTTGTGATACGATACCGAGTAGGTCAGCACTGGCAGTAGCATGTCAAAAGATACTAAGAAACAAGAATTTGTGCTGATGTACTGTGCTCCAATGTCCCAGAATCAAAGTCGACGTCAATTATAAGCAGTCAGTTAGACGGCGCCCATCAGTAGGACGTCATCAGTAACATACTCGGTATTGTGGTGAAACCTG